AGAGAGACCCGGTCGGTGGCGCCGTTTGGTTGAGGTGCGTGTGAAAAGGAACCTCCAGTTTGGCCCCAGGACAGGTGCCGCTCATCGAAAGTCGCCTGCTGACGATTCCTCTGCAGTCAAATCTCTCATACTAAGATGTCTCTCACGAGGGATAGAACTGCGACTAAGCCTCTCTAATCGGGCAACCTTCAAGAGCCAAGCCGCAGGATTCTCATCGTGCGGACCGGCATGCCCTTTGAGTATTCTCAATTGGTACACGCATACCAATACATCTTCTTGAGTAAAATCTAGCTGTTTCTAGTGTGGAGGAGTCTTGTAGTGAAGCATCTAGGTACGGGATCGCTAAGTCGCTAAGTCGTCTCTGAGCCGGTAGTGGTATCATGCAGCCGCGACTCCAGTCGTGGCCAGCAATAAAAAGACCCGGCAGGATTTGAACCTGCAATCTCAAGATTTATACACTGGAGGCAGTGTTTAAAGGTCTTACGCTTATTGCCAATTAAGCTACGGGCCTTTCTGAAGACTCCTGCAGAAATTAAATTGTTTACCCCTGTGGTTTAGTGCACCTGTGCTATTTCTGGTTCAGGTGGTCCATCTTCTTTTCATTGAATTTGCTGGGCCTCGTGTCTATGACTGATAGGATTGCCAGGTTTATCGGAATTTTCGTAAAAGGAGGGCCTTGCGGCGCACAGCAGCCCGGAGCGTGGACCATCGCCGCCGGACATTCCGACGCGCGGTTAAGCATCTGGATTTTCCACCGCCATATGTCGATCTACGCTGCCGAACCGACCGTTCACAGTGAATTGATGTGTGTCTAGACTGATACGGAGGACGGAGAATGCCACTATCAGCACGAAAGCTCAGGGAGCGAATGACTACAAATGTGTTGAGCATTTTCCATCCCAGCCTGCTTATGAAAAAATGGCTCATCAACTGGTTGAATCTTCATGTAAGACAAAAACTACAGCTGGTACATCAAGTCACTGGCAGCCACTTCGGGGCACCTTCGGGTATGCGACCATGGAGCCAGTAGTCCATATCCCCTGGGTTGAAGGGCCTGAGCTCACTTGATCGTCGAGCAAAGTACGAGTTGAACACTTGAACCTCATCATTGTGACCTAATCCGATCGCGTCCGGCAAGTCTATTCTCTTGATCTCTTGGACACCTGGACATCCGAACACGATGAGCGGTTGATTTTGTTTGCAGCTTGCAGTTCGAAGATCTCCTCAAGTGACTCCATCGTGATGCTTACATTTCCGGACATGTCGAGACTGTCAATCTCGTGAGAGGGGTCATTAAGCATCGCACGAACGATCTCCAAAATCCGAGTCGGAGATAGTCGCATCCAGCTCATGTCCAGCTCGTTGCTTCCAGAAAGAGTTTGGGCGGCAGGAAGATCTGGACTAGAGTAGAGTGGAAGTCCTCTGGAAGGTCTTCACCGCGGAGTGCCATGCGGAGGCATTCTCCGCAACTCCAGATTCCGGCTCATAGCCTTCATTTCATTTGGCATCTAGCATGAAACAGTAAAACAACGCAAGCTTGCCTCTAGAGCGTTGCCCGAATGGGTCACATAACGGCGATAGCCAAGCCATGATAGCTTTCGGAAAAGTCGCCGAGGTGAACAATAACTTACCAGATCCGTTATCCGTAGCCACTCCTGCGGAAAAACTATTAGATGAAATAGTACGAAAACAGAGCCGATCAACAAGCAATAATTGGTGGTTCCAACTTGGACGAATTGGCGGTGTCGCTTCCGATGAGATTGGACGACAAGCCAGATAATCAATCCCCCCGTATCAACAGGAGTCAAGCGGTTTCTGTCTACCAAATCTCCATCGTAGCTACGTATTGATATGATCGGTGCCTATATGACATCTGCGAATACGTTTGCTCTTCCATTACCCAACAACGCAATGTGGTCATCTCTCGACTGATGAGCGCTTAACATCCAATTTCCTACGAACTCAGCACATATGTCCTGGATCCCACCAGCTTGCACGGGATTAAGTACATTAATACAAAGAAAGCTGTCAGAAGTTTTGCTAGATTGTTCATCCGCCCATTCCTAAAACTCGACCCAAACAGTTTACGGACGAGCTTCTAACTTCGCGCGTAACAGTTTTGATGAAGCACTATGATATGGAATAGACGTGAGGTACTAGTTCGAGTCAATGTATACGTAGTTACTGTTACCGACTAACAAGAGCTCGAACCCGCTACTCGCCTTTCGGCCGCTGTAGTCAAACGCCATCACCGCAGGACCTAAACTTGGTTCTCCATCCACCTCTTCTGTCAGATTAAGCGGTTGCAATATGTTGGATTTGGGAGAGATTTTGAGCGATGGGCCAGTCAGCACGCTTGGCATTCGGCGGCTTGGCATTCCGTCCTTCCTTCCACCTATCACGCGCCGTCGTCGGATCGTGCCGAAACCGCATATTGAGATTTGATTGGCGGGGGCCCGGATTGAAACCACAACCGTCGGTTTGTCTTTGATTATTGTCGATCGCCTTTCCCAGGACGTCACAGTTCTCACACCGGAACTGCTTTTTTTCCAAGGATGCCTATTATTATAAGAATGCTAGCGACGCCGTTTCACTACGTCTTCGGGAAAGATGTGGGCAAAAGGCAGAAAATGTTAGGCGACTCTTGTCCAACGCGGTCACCGGTCTTCAAAAGCATACCCCAGGCCTCCAGTGGGTAACGATAGGTTCTGGAGGAGCGGATTGAGTTGTGCGAGCTCTTCTCGCATCCGGTTTCTTGCTGTTTCATCGACCTTCTTAAGGATGAACGATATTATTCGCTATTCAGCAGGCGTTTGTCAGCACGATATTGCGATAGTCAATGGTCCAGACAATGTCAACCGCTCACCATTATTTTCTGATCCGCTTTAGCGAACATATCCCCATATTGCACACTCCAGGTTGGAGGAGGAGAGGCCGGATGACCAGGCAAGTTTGTCGACGAAAGTCCACCCCCACCCCCACCGGCGATGGCGATCGCTGGCATGAACCCTGAGACTCCGATGGCTGGCATTGGAGACATGCGATCGGCCGTTGAGATGGAGGCAGATATGGAGAAGTAGTTCGGAACGGACTGTTCCGACGTTGGTGATTGGATTCCATTAGGGCCATTCGGCGGGATAGCTGAGGGTGGGGAAAGACCGAATGCCGTCTGCGCGCCGTGGCTTGGGGAGACGATGGAGGAAGGCCCGAGTATGTCGCTGACTTTCTTGTATATCTCGGCTAGAACGTCAAACAGCGAGAACGCGACTTGGAAATGGTCCAGGGCGAACGGCTGTTGATCGTAATAGGTCAGACCGTGGCTTCATACATCAAAGTTTCCAAGAAACTCACAATATTAGGGGCGACAAGATAAGACGCGTCCACGTCGACGTATGCTCCATAGTCTCCGCCTGCGGTTTTCTTCGGTAGTTTCGAGCCTCTGAATAAATTTCGCTGTCGGCGCGAAAGATATGGTGAATCTCTTGACCAACGTGGAGATACCACGCCCTCCTGCTCACCATCTTCGGTTTCAAAGCATTTTCTTCCGGAACTGTTTCAAACTCTTGCAGTAGTCGGAGAAGCGATAACAAGTAGTCGTGCGGTTGTGAAATATCCAGCAAGCTGGATAACGACATTCCCAGAATCGCATATCGAATTGTCCTGCACGAGCGCGTTGATATTTGAACTTGAAAGAGACGTGTAATGGAGTAACCTACCTCTGTTTCTTCATTTGGACGCCAAATGCGCGTTCTAGGTCCGCGCGCGTAAGAAGGATGGTCTGCATCCAAAACGCTTGCCTGCATCCCAGCTACAACGTCAACCCTCTGCACGAACACGACCCGGTTGACAATGATACGCGTTCTTACCCAGAGTGAATCTCCTTCAAAGCGCGCAATGCCATGAGCCGTTTTCTTATCAGCTCTCGCAAGTATTCCACGGATGATAATTGTGTGACGGGTAACGGAGGTGCGGATGCTGCCGAAGAGATAGTTGGAACATTGGATGTTTCGGAGTATAACGACTGAGAGTCCCATTCCTTAGGGGTTGGCGTAGCATTTCCGGGCGTCGTTGAAGATGATCCAGACTTGAAAGTGGATAGCAGGTTGGAGGCTGAGGACTTGCGGCGCATTCCGGGCCGGGACATAGAACTGCGGGATTTGGATTTGAACTTTGGCTTGACCAAGCAAGTGGCGGTAATTGATTTTTGGGCCCTAAAGCACTTCACGCGTCGTTTCTAGGTGTTTGTGGAGGCTTGACGGATCAGACGTGTGTTGAGGAGAGGTGTTGGTTCGAAGATCAAGAGCCAGGGGTCCTGACAGGGGATAGCGAACTGGACTGCCGTGCTTATCCCCGAAGGGTTTCCAAGATTGACTCTGGGCTTTCTCCAACAATCATCTTGCATTATATCCTACATCCACCATGGCCACACCCGATCAGATCGCCAAACAAGTGAGCTTTGGTACAACATTTGTGGATCGCTTGGAAACTCATTCTTGACCAGTTCGTCGACTATTACTACAGTGCCTTCGATAGCAATCGTGCCAACCTCAGCGGTTTATACGTCAGTCAGCTCATCACCCTCGATTTGAAGGCACCTATACTGACTCAGGACTCATGTACTTGGAATGCATCCTCGTGGCGGCGTGACCGACGTTCAACCACCTCCTTTTCCATCGTTGGTGAAGCGGGAGAGTTCAAAGCTGACTTGGGAGAGCCAGGTCTTTGCGGGCTCAAATACTATTATTGAGAAGCTAACAGTAAGACCCTTATGCACTTCGTCTCGTATAGACTGCTATCTAACAGAACCTGCGTAGTCGCTTCCCTTCACGGCTGTCAAGCATATCGTCGCGACGCTTGACGCGCAGCCTGCGAGTGAAAGCACCCTCATTGTCATGGTCACTGGAGCCTTAGCGGTTGGTTGAAAGGAGCTGGCTTTCATCTCCGGTGCTAACTCTTTGCCGCTTCCCTCCAACCTCCAGATCGACGACAGTCCACCCATGCAGTACAGTCAGGTGTTCCATCTTGTCCCGGAGGGAGGTTCATACTTTGTGTAAGCCAGGTGTAGCTGTTTTAAGCTGCGAATTTGCTAAGTATATTCGCATTGTAGGTTCAACGACATCTTCAGACTGAATTTAGGTTAGATATCGGACCTGTATTAGAATACCAGTTTTGAACCTCTACACTATGGAGATGCTTTTTCGACCACTCTATTGCTGTACTCTCCGGGTATTCTTAAAGAAACGGAGATGGCATCCCAATGAGATTTTGACAGCCCGGAAAGGAAAAGTAAATTCAAGTCGGTGGTCTAGCAACTGCAAAATTTGAGTGCCCCGCTACCACTAAATTTTAGCCAAGGTATGTTCTCCGCGCCCAGAAGAGGTAAGTATCAAATGCATCAAGAACACCTTGAGGTCTCGCGGGTAGATGTGCCAGCGAACTAGCTCGACGCGCGTGGACCACCCCTTACACCTCGAAGTTCTCCCAGCGGTCCTTATGACTTTGACTATGGCAGTATACATAGTTTAACTGAGACACGATCTATGCCATTGTCAATAAGCGGGGTGCCTTCACGTTTACTTGGGATGGCGGCAATAACCGGAGAGGCACCGATCGCATGATGAAGTACTTGAAGGTCAGGCGTTTCCAAAGCTGATCTCTGAGCATGCTAACGCTCTATATGTGCTAGAACCTGAGTTTTTCCGCACTTCGGATTTCTATCGCGAGTAGAGATTGTCTGCATATTGGTCCCGATGCCATGATGATCGTGGTTGCGGGCAAAGTGACTACCTCTGTCTGTTGAAATCTAGGCTCATCTTAGCTTTATTCCTCTGTGCTGAGGAGCTTTGTACGCCTTACTAACGAGGAATTAACGCCCTTATTTCCACCTACTAATCATTGCCGACGGGGAATTCTACATGCACGCATGCAACGCAATAATCGTCTCGAGGTATAAAATTGCCCAATAGAAGGGGTTTCCCTCAGTCATGCAGAGATCTTCAGAATTATCCAAGTGTCAGGTTGAATTAGCGGTTCTGAGTTGGCCGGTCACGGTCTCGTATGTGAACAGATGCATCCCAACGAAGCCTACCGCATGTAATATGAATTTATAAATCAGTTAAGATACGTAATACATCTTCTAAGTTTAAATTGTGACTTTGTCGTTGTGACGAGTGATGATCAGAGAGTACAAGGCGGCGGGGTTTTTTGAATGGACATGAATACAGCGAGACTCGGTGGACTGCTCGCTCGTCCCGAAGAATTCACCCCACTATCTCTCGGAGGCGAGCTTGCCCATGTATTCGTTACGACCCGACTCTTTAACACGGACCTGCATATGATCAGAGTATCTGGGGTCCTTCTCCCGGAGTCAAAGCCCCCTTGATTTGTTATCTTTCACGTCACTCCAGTGGATCTGACTACCATCATGGAACCCACCAATATCGCCCAACAAGTGAGAGTGACAGCCGGATCCAGACGTTTCAAGAGCTCATGTTTGAATAGTTCATCGCATCCTACTACGGTGCACTCCAAGAGCCCGACCGCCGTTCTCTCATCTACTTTTACGTCAGTCACTGTCCCTACTCCTAATCCACAAAAAGCCTTTAGTGACTCAAACTCTCCGTACGCACCGTATCATCACAATCTTAAACCTGGTCTCTACTTCTGTCAACCTAAGCGAGAAGATTCAGCAGTGGGCTGGGATGGCGGGAACAACCAGCTGATGGGTGTCACTTCCATAGCAAGGTTTTTCACCCAGGTGGGTTGTTACCACGACTAGCTCTCTGGAAATACTGAGATACTGTGAACGCATTAGGACTTCACTTATCCGACAATTAAGGTTACCATCGCGACTACTGACATCCGGACCCGTCCATGATGATTTTGGTTACAGGCACAGTCAAAACTTCTGTTCGTCAAAACTTGACCCAACCTCATATCTTGTCGATTCCGCTGAATACTATTGTTTGCTTATAAGCCCGAAGATAATCGCTCTTACCCGTTCGCTCATAGTTTTCAACTCGCCCCGGACGGGGTCACGTTCTATGTGTAAGACGTTGAGAACCTTTCTTCAGCTATGACATGACTGACCTATATCACTACTTTAGGAGGAAAGAGGTATTTAGAATCAATCGCTCCTAAACGTAATTAGGAGCCCGGAAATTGGTTTGAGCAAGGGGGTTGCTGATGGACCTCCTGAGAGGCCGCATAACCGTAGCAAGAGCAGGATATGTTGTTTCCTACATGCATTACGATGCCACATATATCAAGCTGTGGCTATCTCATTGTGCTGAAAGGGAACCACAGGGTGAAGCGGATCGTCAGACCTATCAGAACCGAGGTTGCGGTTCGCGCGTGGGGCAACTTTTTCAACCCTTCCTCTATGCAGTTCTCAAGCAGATCACCGTCAGACCCGTAGCTTAATTGGTAAAGCCACTTTCTATGCATGAGTTCATGCATTGAACCCTCCACACTGATGCAGGTTCAAATCCTGCCGGGTCTACTATAATAGAGCTTCCTCGTCTTTTTGCTTTCGCCCCCGTGACTCTGAGCATTACAGCGATGCCAGCGAGAATTCGAGCCAGCTTTTTACTTTAGACACTCTGAAGTTTGTCTTATTTGATAAACAAGAGCGCTTGTACTTTGACGTGCACCTTTGGCCTTTAGCCGCCCTCGCTCAAGGTAATTTTTGGGCTCTGTTTGGGGAGAATGAAAGCTAATTACACGAAGATCATCTAGCCACGTCCATTCAAGACTGCAACGCGGGCGGGAGACAAGGGGTTCGAAGCGACTTTCTTCCGGGAACCGTCGGAGCGTCTTGCGTGGAGAGCTGGGCTCATTACCCATCATGTTATTAACTCTCAGACTGATCGCCGTCAGACCCGTAGCTTAATTGGCAAAGCAACATCGATCGCTCAACTCTTCCATGGATTAGCTTCCATACAACGATGCAGGTTCGAATCCTGCCGGGTCTACTTTTGCAGTTTCATTATAATTTGTTCTTTTCTTGCCGATCCGAGTTCTACATCAAGGCGGAGTGGAGTTTCGTTACTTATGCTTGTGGACATTTAATGTAGGGTTTTGACTCGTCCTAATTAGTCCTACTAAGATCGCGGTTTGTCGAGCACTTCCAGTCGCGAATGATTTTGGCTTAGGTTGATTCTAAGTCCGTCTCCGCGGGAAATTGAAGTCGTTCACTTTGCATCCGCAAGATCCTACATTAAGCTCTGAAGCCGAGGAGCAAGAGGGCGGAGTGCTTTTCTCCCGAGAACCGAGGCAACGGTTTTGCGCGGGGAGGTAATGGTGTTACCCATCTTGTAAAGAATTCTCAAGCAGATCACTGTCAGACCCGTAGCTTAATTGGCAAAGCCGCTTCAACCTCCTTGACTCTACCTGTGGAGCAACCTCCCAAATGACGATGCAGGTTCGAATCCTGCCGGGTCTACTCTACGGAGCTCGTTTCCTC